GTGTTCTTATATTGTCATCTTCCCATCTCTTCTTCCAGTGTGTGCAGGTGGTGTCTCTTCCTTTCCTGGTGTGTATGAGTCCAAGGTTGTCTCCCGGTGGGTTCAATTCGATCCAATACTCTGAAGGGTCTCAAGGTGGGTGCAGGAGTGTTCTAGGCACTTGCTCTCCAGGTGGATGAGAGTGGGACTAGAGCAGAGATATCAGCAGACTCTGGGTTGCTTGGTTTCAGGGGCTGAGTGGATCTGCCTCACGACCCAATATCATGAGTTCCCAGAGTGTGCAGGCAGAAGTTGTGCCCAAGGCAGGGGCGAAAGCAGCTCACCTCTGCCCTGCATATGAGTGGGAGTAGCCCATCGATCTCAGGAGAGTGGGGGTCACTTTATCCTCAGGAGCCTATTCAATCTCCCTCAAAATTTAGTTCTTTAAAGTCAACAGAAGACTCATTTTGAACTGCTGACAATGAGTGAGATCTGATTTAAGTAGGTCAGGCATCTCAGGATAATCTCCATTTTTATTAATTCACAATCAGTGGCTTAGATATGTTAGTTATATCTGCAAAGCTTCTTCAGCCACATAAACTAGCCTTAAAAAATACAACACCATTATTTATATTCAGAAATAGATAATCCTCGGTTTACAAATGCCCATATAGTAACTGTCAGGTACTCATGGCTGAGATAAGTACCATGGTTGGCTGTGCTTTCATATGATTGTGCTTGAAAGTATTACACAATTATTGTATCAAATGACATGAAGAAGTAGCATAAGAGCTACTATTTATGTAGATTCAAATGACAACATGCCTACTCTTTTGAAGGCTTGTATAAAATTAGGCACTAAAAATCCCCTTGAGAAATAATGGGTTCCTGGGAGGCAGGGGAAGGGGGGAGGGAGAGGGAACTGGGATTGATATGTAAGACAAGTTTATTTCTAATTTAAATAAAAAATAAAAAAGAAATAATAAACTCAAGGAGAAAACATGCTGACAGAAATCAAGTATTTTAGGGCCAAATATAAAATTTAATTAGACATTATCAAAAGAATTAATCAAATCCATCTTGCTATGAAAGATGAGTTTCATAGAGTTGCACAGATTCATGCAGGACCAGTGAAATGGTAAAAGCCACATTGCCATAAAGTTACTAAATATGTGAAATAAAAGCAAGTTTGTAAAGCATCTGGAATGCTTTAACAAAATACATTATTTAAGAACCAAAATTGGGTCCTGACTCTGTCCATGTTCTTTATGGAATATGGCATGTTTACAGTTTTAAATTTAAAACAATGAGTGCCACCAATCTTAGAATATGAGAGTCATAAGCACAAACCCTGACAAGTTACTCATTTTTATCCTAAGAATGAAATGTAAGAGGAATGAGGCTGCATAGTCACACAGAAAGGTAAAAAACAAAGTAGAATTGAAAATTCTACCCATTATCATAAATTCAAATTTGGGACAATTCAAACATTATGAAATAAGTCTATTCTCTCTATTCATTAATAGTAATGAATTCATTAATAGTAATGAATGTGGGTGGCATGGATATAAATGTGAAAGTATAAGTGATAATTACAATCAATGTCTAACTATGTATAATTTAACTTTTCTGTAATTTTCCACACATGCTATTTACTTCACCATCAAACCTTGAAGCAAATATTTTTATTTTCATACACTTACAAGAAAAATTAGGAGGATTCTCACATGTCAGAGTTCACTTTGTGTTGGAATAAGACCTTTAGTGATACTAAAGTGATCCTCCAAGACAGCAGAGTAAAACAGCAGGTTGTGTTTCAGGCAAATTTCCCAGGGTCTTCACACATCCTTTTTATATTTTCCATACACACTGCTCTTCATCCTCCTCATCTCAAATTTTCTACCCTCATATGTTTGGGTTTCATTTTACACATTAACTCTGAGAGGTGTTTCTTGTTTTGTTTTCTTCTGACAACCAAAGTTAATTTATTTCTCAGTTTTCATTAGTAACTGATTCACTTCTTAGGAATCAATCTTTAAGAGGGGAGAAATGAGCTATGCTGACATCAAACTAGTGGCGGATATGGATGCTTCTAATCACTCTGCTGGGCTCCCATCATCCCACAACAGAATGGTAAACAGCCTAACATTACCTCATGAAACTTAATTTTAGAATATTTAAAACAGTGGGATAAAGCTAGCCCTCAACTACATCACTAATATGCATTTGCTTATTCTATGCTGTAAATTGAGCATAGGAGCCTGTGTGCATGACATATGTGCTCTATGCTGTGATCTACACTGTGTGTTTTTTTTTAATTAATAACAAAAATAACAATTAAGGTCTTCAACTTCTTCATATAAAATAATGTAAACCCAACAGATCATTTGATAAAAATTTAGTCACTAAATTATTCTGAAAGATAAATTCCTGAAGATATAATTCATGAAGTGATTTGACAAATCTATAGTGGCTATCTACCATGTCAAAAGCTATGAAAGATCCATATACATTTTTTTTGCACTTTCCTAAAGAATTCACTTGAGCCTCTAGTCCATCTGGTAAACCACCTAAATTCACAGCTAACATCTTTACTAGGAAACACAAGAAAAGAAAAGAAATTGTCAATCTTAATCTTTGGAAGTGTGTAGTAGCAACTACATTTTACAAGCAATCACCCAGCATCCATTATTCTTCACCAACAGCACACATTTCAAATCAAAGGAGTAGCCTAGGACCTATTGTTTCTTTTCTATTGTATGTCAATAAATGACAGTTCTAGGTAAGAAATGGAGTAATTATTGCACTAAGAAAAATGCCATATATGAATTGGAGTTGACATTTAAAAGGTAAAGTGGCTTGTGTCCTAGAAAGGTATGCTATGAGCAAGTGGTCTATAGAGCATAGATCAGAAAGGCAGCCTACAAATGCTATCTGAGACAAAGGATCCAGCCTTTGCCATAAGACTAAAAATATGACAGGAGTCCCAAGATGAAAAGTATTCTCCATCATGGTGTTCACAAGCAAAGAAAAGTATTGTGAATTTAGCAAGGAGACAGAACTTTAAACATTTATCCTAATACATCCTCACCAATTATATATCTCCTCTACAATGTTTTGTTAAGATATCAGCCATCAACACAAAGAGGTATGAACAGGAAGCATTGTTTGAGAGTATGGCAATCAGAAATCCAAGAATGTTCAATAAATACAACTGATTCTCTGAAATGTATTAAAGCCTAATGATTCAGCATATGTCAGCTTCTTCTGATAGCTTGCTAGTATCATCCCAATTTATGTTTTTCACTATAGGAATGAAATGTTCATGATAATCAGTTGTATCAATATAAGTCTGTCTGTCTTAGTTCTAGCCCTGATGGCACCCTGGTTGTAATGGGTAGACCAACAATGAAAAATGGGGGAGAAGAAATGGATGCAAATTAAGAGATGTCCTGTTATTACCAACCATTTGCAAAGTAGAGTAGCATGATGCCCAGAAGGAAGGGAACAAATCCTAGACTAGATGATAGGGCGGCATATGAAGCAACGGAAATTCATTGTGAGATAATGAACTTATAGTAGGTGTGACTCAACAAATATTGGTGACAAGTTGTTTGCATTAACCTGAAACTTTTCAATAATAAAGTTATATTTCCCCATCAGAACGTCTTACCACTCTGTGTAAACACACACACTCACACCCAGCCACCCATCCATCCACCATTGCCCCCCCCACACAAAAACAAATCTTACTAACAATGCTAATCCATATTTGTCTTTCCATTAGAAATCAGCTATGTGGTTTGAATTGAAGAGACTTAAGCTATAGTCCCAAAACCCACAATCCCTATAGTTGAAATTCCGAACTATAAAGATATATATAGTCTAAATCTTCACACTACAATTTTTTATGATAAAACCATCAAAATTAAAAGATAGTTGTTGTTAATATGTCTTAAGGAGGATTTTTTAGATAAATATATAAAAACACATTGGAATATCTCATTGGAAACCTTATGTGTTATATTAAGCAATAATAATGCAAGTATGTTTACAAACATGAATATTTAGGTGTACTGGTATCAATTACCGAGTTCAGTAGGTATGAGAAAAAATATGTATTAATAAAGAACTAGAAAAAAACACTAAATGTGTAAGTACTAATAAACTTACTGGTATTTTCTACCCACAATGTGTAACTGAAAGTCCATGTACTAGTCAAGATTCTGGAATTGCAAATAACACAAAAGTGAAATGTATAATAATTGAAGTGAAGTGTGATAATTTAAAATATGGTGAAAGCAGTAAAAACAAAAATAAAAATTGTTTTAACATCTTTAAAAATGCTAATTATTAGTAGGTGGTGTGTAATCACACAGCAGTAGCCAAAGAAGCTGTTCAAATTTTGAAATTATTCAAGTATTTTGACGTCTGTCATCATGGTGGAATAAGCAGTCATAAAAGGCTTCACTTTGCCAGTAAAGAATACAAAAGTAAAGGATGAGTTTTAGAATTTTCAGAATGAATGAGGACACATGTATAACTTTTTAAAATTGTAGGCAATACTAAAAGTTTTCAATAATATCCAATAATGGAGAATAACAACAAAATACCATTACCCCAAAGCAAAGCAAACTGAAGTATTTCAGTCCGGTATTGTGACTCAGTGCATTTTTCAACAGTGAAATCCTTAACCACACAGAACTCATCATCTAATGGTAATAACACTGAGGGAAGCTTGTAGCAGAGTGTCTTTGGTTCATAGGTAGACTGAGACTATTTTTATTCTCTGATGAATGAGATATTTGAAGACATCTTTACTGCTAACTGCTTGGTACTTGAAGGCACAAAATAACACATGCTTGAACAACTGGACAGGAGAATTGCTGGTTATTTTCACTTGTGTTGACACTTGCTCTGAATCTTGGGAACATCCTCTACTGTTGTTCTTGGAGAATGCTGGGGCCTAAAAGTTTTGTAATCTATTCTTTCCACATTCAAATATGTATTTATTTTCTGAGCTTTCCACAGCAGTCACACAAAAGGTCAGAGGAAATCTTATGGAGTCAATTCTGTTCTATGCTGTGGATCCCAAGGACTGACCTGGTAGGTTATGTGGCTTTGAAACAGATGCCTTTACTTTCTGAGCAATCTTGCTGTCCCATTTCTTTTCATTTGAAAGTAGAGCTACTGGTCAACCAGAATTGCACACTAATGTTTATAGGAAACTGCTTGCAGACACACTGCAAAATATGCTCTATTAGTTTTTGAGGCATTCATTCCACTTAAGCTAAAACGTCTATGCAGTGTAAGAATGACAATCCTTTCCCTAGAATTCAGCTTTCTAGCATTTTCTTTTGTAGTCAGCAATTTTCAAGATTTCACTATTTAATGTTTTGATGTTTAATGATTGTGGAATTTAAGATTTTAGTCTTCAGTTAATATTAGACTAAAGAATTTGATTTCAATTCTCCATATGCAGAATAATGATATTTGGAATTCATTCAGGATTGTGATTTGTACTAATTTTAATGACATCTTTTCTAGTGTTAATTTTCAAGGTGTCATACTTAAGGGGGGATTCAAAGTTAATATGTATTAAGTTGACAGTCCACCTTTGCAAAATGGGAACTTTTTGGCTTATTCATTCAGTATAGAAAATAACTAGTCAATAGTGACAGGGTGAATGCAATGCATAATTAAAACTGCTACTGTAAGAGCACAGCAGAATGACTGTTGTCATGGAAGCACACTTTTATTAACCCATGTCTTTCAACAGATAACATCATCTAATTCCCTGTAGTTGACGAAACAGAAATATCATTCTTTGTATTTCTAATGATATTAGCAATGTTAGAATACAGTGTAAACTTTACATATAAGAAACCTCAAAGATAATTGATTTCAAGATGATTCCTCGACTCCCTAATACTGTATCAGTAGTTCACTAAAAAGCTTATTAAAATGCACATATATTATAAAAGAAGAATGTTACAAAATAAGCTTAGGCAGCAGAAAGTCACAACCAAAACAAGTCTAAAAATATAAAATCACTTTAGTAAGGCTAAACACCCTGCCATAGGAAGAGAGGGAGATTTAGGTGGCTGAGAGGGAGAGAGAAGGGAAGGAGACAAGAAACTGGCCTTTGTATTTACCTCCTAGGAAAATCTAAAGACATGTGAATTCTGAAATTACACAATAATTATCTCTTCCCAATTATTAAAGACAGCAATGAATACTAATTTTTCCTTTATGATAATATCTAAGGATTGAAGAGGGAAAGTTACACCATCAAACAAAACTATATATGAATGAAGCAATGACAAGTAACCAAGACTGGGCTTAGCATAGATAGAAGTCACAAAAAGGGACTATGTAGGAGTTTTTTTTTTCCTTTCAAAAATATATAAAAGCAGCAAATATCATGAAGGCTTAGTTTGGACTCAATATTCTTGACATAGACAATTACAAATATGGAGATTCACAAATCCAGTGAATTTGTCTTGTTTTTTTTTTTTTTTTAATTCCTGAGCAGACTCTCTAACTGCTAAATCGACTCTTATCAAAAGCAGGGCTTGAAGATTTCACCATATTTATACAATGTTTAGACATAGTAGTCCACATAAATTATTACATTTTTCCTCATAACTGCCTTGACATTTATTTAGCATTGGCTTGAGCCTTCAAATTTATATAATCCTATATGCTAACAACCCATAAAGCCATAAAACCTCTTGTACAAATCTCAAAGCAGGACACATTAAACATAAATATTATTTTTAGAATCATAACACCCTTGCAAATATGCTCAAGTGAGAAACTGGCTGGGAATTTGCTTTCATGTATTTTGAGGATTTCAAGATATATTTTTAGAAACTATAAAAAGCAAGGGAAAAATTGTTGCCAGACACATAAACAGAATAAAAGGACAAACTTGGAGCTTTGAAAAGATGCCATTGATAGTTACATATAAACAAGCTGAAAATTGAGTCCAACCTACAAAAATATTCTAAGTTCAAATGTGTTACAAAACATTTCTCCCTGGCCCCTGACACAAATGTGAGGATTTTCCATATCTGCATATGTTATTACAATGGTTTCACGGACTGTTACATATGTTTACCAAGTCAAATCTTAATGTAGCAAGGGCATGGAACAGGCTCTAAAAGATTATATGTCTGACATCTCAAAAACATATCTCTCATCTTTGAATTTTATTATCTTTAATGGATACAGAAAATATACAACACACTAAAGTAATCAGAGCCAAATATACAGCACTTTTTAATGAAATTGTATTTTAAAGGTAGGCTTGAGAGATAGCTCATGGGTGAACACCTTACTACGTAAGTGGTAAAACCTGAGTTTGAATGTGCAGAACCCATGCAAAGTGAGACATGGTACTCTGAGTCTGTAATTACAGCCCATTTGCTGAGACAGGAGACAAAGCAAGAGAATCTCTGGAAGTTGGTTAACTCCAACCTGGCATGCAAAGAATAACCAAGAGACACCATCTTAAAGGAGGTGGAAATTAAGGACTAGTGCCAAGAGTTTTATCTGACCTTCCCCACATGAGCAGAAGTACTCACATACTCATATGCACAGAAATGCACATAGACACAAATACTGTTTGTTACATAAGACAGATTAGCATATCCAGGCTTCTGGCTTTAGGCTAAGCCATGAATTTGCTTCTACAAAAAAAGATGCATAAGAAAAAACAAATCTAGGCATGGTGACATATGCCTTTAATACCAGCAAGTTCTCAGGAAGCAGAGGCAGACAGATTTTAATGAATTTGAGGTCACCATGTTCTACATAGCCAGTTGCAGGACAGGAGGACAGGCAGGACTTCATACAGAGACTTTGTCTCAAAAGGAGAGAGGAGAGAGAGAGAGAGAGAGAGAGAGAGAGAGACAGAGACAGAGACAGAGACAGAGACAGAGACAGAGAGAGAGAGAAAACATGCATATATTATGAATATATTTAAATGAATATATTTAAATGTTATTTTTACAAATTAGCATCTTCTAAAGATAAAATGATGCTAAAATATCTGAGAGGAAAAGTGGTTAGCTGGCCTTTTTTTTTCTTTTAATGTGCATGAGTCATGACACAAACATGTACTTAGCCTGGCTTTCCACTTGAGTGACTATAGTAGTCCATTACTATGCCACCCTTGGCAAATATGTATGTTGTAAAACAAAGAAAAGGGGAACATAGGTAATTGCTAATGTGTGAGGGGGAATGCAATCAGATCTGGCTATCGGAGCCTTAACAATAGGATTCTAGAAGTTTTTCTGAGTCTTAAATGTATATGGTTGCATGTACACAAGAAATAAATCTTTATCAACTATACTTTAGCCTAGGAGGTATTATCAAAAAATTTCAAGGAATGGTAGAAATTGAATACCAAAGAAATAAAACTGCCAAACAAAACATGGGCCAATGAATTAACTTGACAGTTTCCAAAATATGAAACACAAATAGATCATAAGTGTTTTTTAAAGAGTTCAACATCCTAGACATCAGAGAACACCAATTAAAACTACTTAGAGATACCACCTTATTATACTTAGAATGGCTGTCATCAGGATATCTGACAAAAAAAAAATGTTGAAGCGGATGTAGAGAGAGGGGGAACCCTTATTCACTGTCTGTGGAGTGCAAATTAATACAGCCACAATGGAAACCAGATTGGTGGTTTCTCAAAAAAAGGAACTACCTCCTGATCAAGCTATTTCATTTAGGCACATATCACAAGAACCTCACATCCTACCATAAAGTTATCTGTACCACTAGTTTACTGTTGTTTTCTCTACTATAGAAAAGAAATAGTCAACCTAATTACCCATCATCAGATCACTCGGTAATGAAAATCTGGTATATACATAAGATACTATTTGACTTTAAAGAAAGCTAAAACCACAAAATTTTCATAATAATGGCAAAATTTAAAATGTATACTGTTAAGCAGGGTTACATTATTTAAGAAGAGAAAAGTCTTCTTAAACAAACAAAATAAGCATGTGTAGAGGAAGGGATGAGTGAAGGCAGTGTCCAGGAAAGATATTATACTTGAGTCCATGAAAGAAATTATAAAAGTAATTGTTATCTAATTAGAACTCTGCCATAGAGCTTTGTGTTTTGGTGAGGAATAAGTGCATAAAGACATAACTAATCATAAAAGTGCAAAATCCACTGTGAGCTCCGCAGCTACAGAACAGAATGGCTATTGTAACTGTATAAAATTTCACTGAGATACATCGACTCTGGGTCTGTTAAATTCCCTGTGATGTTTTTATTTTCAAATTCTTTATAGTAAAATTTTAGTATATTTGTTTTAAAAAAGAAATGAAGCCAAATCAAAGTCTGTGTTAGAAACCAACGTTTCAGCGTCTTGGAGCTCAAACATCTTTGCCATCCTCTGACATTTTAGTGCCTGTCAGAGCTGTGTAAACACTGAAACCTCACGGAGCCAGAGTACTTCTTCGGATCTTCCATTTCTTTAGCTCCAAATGAAATTATCCAGGGGAAGAAGTGTCAATGGAATGTTTAGGAAGGCTGCATTTTAAACTTTTATCTTCCTTTCAAAGTGCTCGGGGATCTGCTTCTCTTCCAAGTCACTAAGAGCAAGAGTGTCTCTAACTCCCTCAAATCTCTAATCTTTTATCTCACTTCCAGTGTCAAGATGGGGCTAGGCCAACAGTCACAGGCGATTGCCAGAAAAACAAAATTCCTGCTGCTGCAGATTTTGGATGTGTCAGACAAATTCCAGAGCATTTTACTTTGCAGAACAAAAAGGAAACCATCTTTACAGTGACTGGAGCAGAACACTGTACACACGTCAGTGCTGAAGAACCAGGATCTCCGGCCACATAGATGATAACACAGATCATTACTGTGCCAGTCACTACCAAGAGAAGTCCAATATTCAAACTTGCACTAGAGATGGCAAGGGAAATGTTTCAGTCAAGCCATGAATAAATAAGACCAATACCAACAGTGTATAATATTCCTCCAACACCCACACCCATAGCATTTTACAATTGTGTCAGAGCAATGGCTTAAAGCACAAAGCTTCTTTCTGCAATATGATATAGTTTTCAGAGTATATCCTACAGAGCTTAAAAGACTTAAAGCTGTTGGGGAGGGCTATCAGAGGGCAATTAACACATATACATTTAATAGAGTATAAATATTTTAAATATACATTATTATCATTTCCAGCATTTCTGGAATCTCACCATCACCCATGCTCCAGCATTCAGGCAAAATGCCTAGTCATTCCCCAGCCTTATGTAATCTATGTGCACACGCAGCCTGACCACATAATCTATGCGCATGCATGCCTGCATGGCCTGGCTACATAAGCCCCCATAGGCATGCCCGGAGTAACTTTTAAAAGTAGACATACAGACCACACTCCCTCTCTCTAGCCACATTTCTTCCAGGGAGACCTGTGCATACCACCTCTTCCCTTTCCTTACTCTTTACTAATAAAACTCTTGAATTGGGCTTTGCTGTATATCTTGTGGTCTGTTCTCACTCACAGTAAGTAACATATGTATATATTTAGCAGAATATATTATATTAACATGCAGATATGCATGTATACACACATAGTCATGCACACACATGCACGTACTCACACGTGCATGCACACAGTCCCCCGCCCCCTGCAACACACACACACGGATATAATATATTCCTTCTGCCTATCAGCCCAACACAGACTCTTTAGGTTCTCCATGTCTTAGTAAGTTAATATTCCATTCCCACAAGCCCATTATATGAATAAGCATAGGTCTAAATTTTGAGTTCCAGAGACTTCCATGCCTATAGTAAATATCATCTTAAGCAAAAAGTTACTATACATTTTTCTACATGTTTATTAAGTGTTACTTGATTGAATGATTGATTTGCTCCAAGCCTAGCTATATTTGTTGAGTTTCATGGTTCAAATTAATTGACATCGATGTTATATCCAAATATTTGATTCTTCCTGAGATGTTTATCCCTTAAAGTACTTCCTAACTTAGCCACAAGGCATTCATATTATCAATGTCAAACTGAAACAGTGGGGAGAGTGGCACTTTCCATCCATTTTGTTTTGATCAGCAACATGTGTGTATGTCATTTATTTGCAATTAGCTCCTTTCCCTCCTCCATTAGTTCTGAGCAACAGATGGTATCCTGAAAGTGTGACTTTTTGCTATTGGCACGTCCTACATTTCCTTATGATGACCAGATGTCTCTCTTGGGTTTAGTTCTCATGGGTCTGGATAGTATTTTTTTTTTCATGTATATTCGCTAGGTTAAGAGGCCAAAGACATAAAATCAGCAAGACAATTGTCCTTACCACAGAGGTGTGTGTGTGTGGGGGGGAGACACTTTATTAAAAAATACACTCAGGATAGTTACTTAGCTGGGGGAGATACCATGATCACCAAGGTGGTTTTCCCAGGGCGAGCCTAACGTGTTGCACTCAGATATGCTGACCCCTGAGATTTCCCCAAATGCAGAAAATTCAGCTGCATAATATGGGGCAGTGGGTGACTGCATTTCTGCTCTTCTTGAAAAAAAAATTAAATAAATAAAAATTAAAAGTACACTTAGAGACAATATGGAGATGGCTAATATTTTTGTGGCATTATAAATAGCTCAGATATTTCGTCAAATAAAGATGTAAATAGAAAACTAAAAAGGAGAAAACCCACTTTTACATGAAGTATTCTGAAGTTTCAGAACTATTTACCAAATATGAACAAAAAAAAAGGAAAAATTCTTGGGAGCTAATCAGTTTTATGTGGAAGTCTTTCCATGACAAAGTTTTCAAAAGATGTTCTAAAAGACATATTTTGCAGAAAAAAAATTAACCTTCTCTCCATAGCACGCATTTGCATTTCAAAGTTATGGTTCCATGGTGCTAATTAAGAGAGTTTTCATATGGAAATTCAAGGGGACTGCTGAGCCCTACACTGGACACTGCTTCTCCAAGTTATTCATGGTTTTTGTTTGATTAGGGTTTCACTTGATGCAAATAAGATGCCAAATTGTGCTGGATTTGAAGAAGTAGAAGTTCGAAAGACAGTTTGTGAAATGAGAGCAATGGCAAATACTTCACATCCTCCTGTGAAAGGCAGCTTAGACAAAGTCATAATGCTGTAAGGAAAGGAGAGTCACCAAAAGTGCCAGGGGAGGCAACAGGAGGAATCTGTTGAAAACTATGGACCAGTTTTCATTAGAAAGGAGAATGGAGACGGCTTGAAGTTAATGGTATCAGCATAACAACTGCCACCTCAACTGAGTGGGTTTCTGTTGCCACCACACTCCAAATATGAGTTAGGTGAGGCTCACTTGTTAAGAGAACTCAGTCCTCTTGCAGCAGACACAAATACCGTGCTCATAACCTACATACAGTAGCTTATAATTGTCTGTAACTCTAGCTGTCTACAGGAAGAGCTTCTCTCAATGCTTTGGCCACTTTCACTAACATGTACACAGGTACATAGAGATAGCTAAAAATAAAAGTAATATGACTTAGACTGTAGGTAAGAAAGAACATACAGAATCAAAATGAGTAGACACATGCTAAATTACAGTCTTTGGTTAAGTTCAAAGTAGCTGTTGAGTAACTGCTCTTGGTGACTTTAATTAAAACAGAAAAATGTAGGTATATTCTTTTTATATTTGTTTTAATATTGATGACTGCAAACCACTAAGAAATACATTGGAAAAGCTTTAGTTAATCCAGTTTAAATGTTGAAAATAATTAGCAAGTATTCAAGCATCTCTTATTACTAACAGAAAGAAAAATATACTTTTAAAGTATTTCAATTAGTAGTGTAAGACCCCTGGAAAGCTCAGGCCTCCAGGATCTTAGCCCAGGACCGTGGCCACCCCAATCACCATGCAGAGTCAAAAGCTTGATGCAAACTGCACGAGGCTTTATGATAGTTCTTTAAGGAGCTAACCCCATGTTAGCTCGGGTCTTTCATCTACCCACCATGGCGGATGGCTAGAAAAGACAGCTCTAAGAGTCTGCGTTGAGATCTTATAGGGTAGTGTAAGGGGAGTGTCTAGGGTTATGCACAGGGTCAGGATTGGTGTGCCTCCAGGCTTGGAGGGTTTGCCCTGTGTTGACTGGTTAACTGGTTGTTATGGCCCATAGGCCCTCCCAGGGTGGTTGCTATGCTCTGCCCATCATTGCTGTGTGCTTGTCCGTAAAGCACACCCAGAACCATAAAGCATAGCACCACCAGCTAACTTCTGATTGGTTCTTTGCCATGAGGCAGGCATCTGACTTTCTAGTGACTAAGACAAGGTCAGACAAGCATGTGTTCGGCTGTTATGGCTGCTGAAATGGGGAGCTGGTCCCTTCAGTATCATAAGTGTAAAAGAATTAGACTGCCCATCAGTCTTGACTACCTGAATTTGATACACTGAATCCACATTTTTAAGGAGAGAACCACATCCATAAGTTGTCCTGTGATCGCTACTTGTACTCTCTCTCTCTCTCTCTCTCTCTCTATATATATATATATTGTGTGTGTGTGTGTGTGTGTGTGTGTGTGTGTGTGTGTGTATAATGTAACAAAATAGGTTTAATAGGAGTAAGACATTGTTGTGTGACACTAAGCCTTAAGAGACATGAACAAACTCACTCACCTGATAAAGAAAACCAATGACAGACCAAAGTACAGAAATGCCAAAGTCCAACTTGGTAAACCAATGAGTTTTATTAGGGCCACACAGAAAAAGAAATGCCTCAAAGACAGCTGATCTACATTACTAACACTGACCCAAGCATAGGTAACAGCTCCTGAACACCAGAAACCTGGGAGCATACTGAGCTACTTATGGGCATTTCAACTGATTGGACAGTGTCACATTCAGATGGTTCAGTTGGTCTTCCAGGCAACTCAGCTTGTCTGAGAATTGCTTAAAAGTCCTTAGAACTTATATATGGTTGGGGAGAGAATCTGGTCTGCTTCAGAGACTTGTAAGTTTAATGAGCTTTCATGGTGGATGGAATGATTCACCTCCACTTAGAACACTATAGTTTCACCTCACTGTAAAGGCCCTGTTTCTTAACAAGCTTCCCTCAAATACTAAAGGTGTTAATCTGTTATGTAATAGACATGGGTTAATGGGATAAATTCAGGAAATTACTGTAATTTCAGTATAAAAACCAGAGGAAAATTAGTCAGGTTGGAAACATTTCTACAGTTAAAATTTTAACTTATAAAGGGTCAGTTATTTAACTTAATTAGTTATTTGCTGTAGTAATTCACAATTTAATTTCTTAGAATTTTTAAATTATGCTGAAGTATATATAACACAAAAATTACCACTTTAACCATTAAGTTAACCCCGATTATTATACAAACATAATAGGCATATACTACACCTTCCTTCACTTTTTATTAATTCAAACTATTTACTTATTATTCATCATTTTCAATTTTTTCCTCCTCCATTCTGGGAACCTGTGATTGAGCTTTATTTCCCTATGAAATGTGATGACCTATGTACCTGACATAAGCACATCCAAACCTACAGCATCTCTCTTATTTTTCTGCAGATTTTTTATTTGAATTAGAAACAAGATTGTTTTACATGACAATCCCAGTTCCTTCTCCCTCCCCTCCTCCCTTACCACTCCCTCCAACTAAAACCCAACCTATCACATATCCTTTCTGATCCCCTGAATTTTGAGGCCTCCCATAGGGTGTCATCAGAGTCTATAGTATCCTTTGGGATAGGGCCTAGGCCCACCCCCCGTGTGTCTTGACTCAGGGAGTATCCCTCTGTGTGGAATGGCCTCCCAAAGTCAACACCTATGCTAGGGATAAGCATGGAACTACTACAGGAGGTCCTGTAGATTTCCAAGGTTTCCTCACTGAAACCCATGTTTCTGGGGTCTGGATCAGTCCCATGCTGGTATCCCAGCTATCAGTCTGGGAACCAAGAGCTCCCCATTGTTCAGTTCAACTGTTTCTGTGGGTTTCAACAGCCTAGTCTGGACCCCTTTGCTCTTCACTCATCCTTCTCTGCAACTGGATTCCAGTTCAGTTCAGTGATTAGTTGTGGGTGTCTGCTTCTACTTCCACTAGTTACTGGATGAGGGCTATTGGTTGGCTTATAAGTCAGACATCAATCTAATTATCCCGGGAGGGCATTTAAGGTAGCCTCTCTTCTGTTGCTTAGATTGTTAGTTGGTTTCATCTTTGTAGATCTCCAGACACATCCCTAGTGCCTGATTTCTCTATAAACCTAAAATGTCTCCCTCTATTATGGTATCTCCATTCTTGTTATCTTCTATTCTTCCCCTGACTCAAACTTTCTGCTCCCTCATGTCCTCTGTACCCCTCCTCTTCTCCCCTTCTCATTCTCATGGCTCCCTCCCCACCTTCCCCGTGATCCTAATTTGATCAGGAGATCTTGACCCTTTCCCCTTCTCTGGAGGGCCAACAACATCTCTCATTTTGGTGACTGGCATATTTCACTAAGTAGAATGCCATGAAAGTTTTTTTTTATATTGTAGGATGTATCAGTATTTACTTCCACCTCACAGCTATATACTATTTTATTGTTTGTATGTAACATCAGTTTTTTTTTCCTCCATCTGTTGATAGATATTTGGCTTAGCTTCTGGCTATTGTGTATATGAATGCTCTGAGGATCACCGTACCAATACCTATATGAGTCTCTGCTTTTATTTCTTTAGTATATTTTCCACAGGAGGCATTCTTGTAATATATCCCCTAAACTAAAGAGATAGTTTAGAAGGAAAAAACAAATTAATGTATTGTTAGGTGAATCAGAAGGCATATTTATATGCATTAAGACTTGCTGTCAAGGTTGTGTTGTTGGAATTTGGCTAGACAGAATAACCCTGATAAATTTTAACTTGTGAGCACCAGAACAAAAAGACAGCTTACCAATTCCCTAGCTCATTTCAGAATTACTGTACATAATAATGTGGTTTTAGAGAATGTGATATACCAACAATAAAGGCAGGATAAAGGACCGTGTAGTCAATCCCCAAGGGACCAAGCCATCCACTTACACCATGTTCTTGTAGGAAGATAAATACACAAACAAAGGAAATGATGTCTGCTTCATATAATTTACAATCAGATGTTAACAAATGCTCAATAGCCAGGAACTTTTCAGATAAAACATGAAACCAATATAATGCCATATGGCTAATGTACTTTACTGCACAGATGGCTTGTAGAAACTTAATGAACATAGCTTGCATATTTACCATACACACGTGAGTTAGGAACTTTAAAATGAGACAATAGGAGGGAGGAAGCTAGGCAATCAAATGTATTAAATGGGTGCAGAAAAATATGCTATCACAAAGGAGAAGAAAGCAGATGTGAAGGGGAAGAAGAACAACCTATGAGACAAAAGCATTCCACTCGGAAATCATGACAAATGCTTTACTCTGTCTCACAGGCAAATCATTATGTGCATGAGAAAATAAAGATTAATGTGAAATGAATCAGTATTGATCATTAAATTAATAAATTGTTAGCATACATATGGTAGGAGCTGCTTTAGGGTAAGGCAGATTTAATTTAATAACATTGCCTATATTTCAAACATATGATAGGAAGTCTTTTTGTCGTAAAGAAAATGGTCTTTATTTGATTAATTAATTGCCTTGAAAAGTAACATTTTAAATTGAATTGGCAATCCAGCAGTCACTTTTGAAGATCATAGATAATATACTATGTCTAATAAGTTAAATAAACTTAGAGGCATCCTACTTCAGGCTTCCTATTAAAAATACATTTCTAGGACTATGATTTTCAGTCCATTGAAATCATATGATACATTCAATCTGTTCCAGTGTTGACCAATATTTAAAATCATATTCATTGAGTGTCCAACCACCCATTTTGGCATTAGTATGACTGACAAATGCCTCTAAAGACTGTTTTGTTGCTCTTGCAAAAAACAGAAAAATCAAATTAAATCATTATGTATAACAATGTTCACAAAATCAGGTGCTTAAGCTCTCTTAATTTTGAATAAAATGTTGTTAAATAAGTATAACATTTTCTTGATTTTAAATGTAAAGCTATACCCAGTTGTTGAAATGAATATTTGTAAGAAATTGTAAAATTGAAGTTATTAAAAGAAGTATATTAAATCTTATACTGCCTAACTCCTGCTACCGTTAACCATACAAATATTTTGAGAAATTTTGAATTCATGAAAAAATTTACTGTGCCAGAAATTGTATAGTATTTTATTGTATAATATGGGTATCAGCAAGACTGGCTTAATCATCTACATAGAGTCTAATTTATTCATTTATTTTCCTCCATTTTTAAATTTAAATTAGAAACAAGATTGTTTTACATGTCAATCCCAGTTCCCTCTCCCTCCCCTCTTCCCTTGCTCCCCCCAATACCCTACCTATCCCATAACATTTCTGCTCCCCAAGGAGAGTGAGTTCTTCCATGGGGTATCCTAGGATTCTGTCATATTCTTTGTGATAGGGGCTAGGCCCTCCCCCATGTGCCTAGGCTGAGGAAGTATCTTTTTATGTGAAATGGGCTCCCAAAGTCCATTCCTATACTAGGGATAAGTACTGATTCACTACCAGAGGTTCCATAGATTTCCAAGGCCTCCTCACTGACGCCCACATTCATGAGGTCTGGATCAGTTCCATGCTGGTTTCCCAGTGATCAGTCTGGGGGGTCAATAGTTCCCACTTGTTCAAGTCAGCTGTTTCTGTGGATTTCACCATCCTGATCATGTCTACTTTGTTCATCACTCACTCCCTCTCTGCAACTGGATTCCAGTTCAGTTCAGTGTT